GTCTTTCTCTTTTGTCTACTCTCGATTTCTGGTCTCTAAGTGCCGTCGTGCACCTTTTTTTTTTTTTTTTTTTTTTTTGGACAAATGCTCCAGTTATTTGTGGGGAGCACCACGTGCTGGGAACCGGGCCCAGCGTCCCATATAGAGTTGCACAAGTCGTTTGAGATGCTGGGGCCATTACCCGGCTTCGGCTGAGAATCAATCTGAAGGAGAGGTTAAAAAGTTATAAATGACTACTCACCTCTTTCCGAATGCTCTGATTTTCGTTTCCCTAATTTTCCTTTTTTTAATTTTCTTGAAATTTTCCTGAAATAGGGTACAGCAGCAGTGGAGATGGGGGCTAGCTCAGTGGGATAAGTAGATGGTTCTATATCAAGTGTCCTATTAGTGAGGGGGCTAGCTCGTTGGATGGAAATAGGGTACAGCAGCAGTGGAGATGGGGGCTCTGCTGCAGTAAGTCTTGCCGGAGGGAGGTAAAGAGGATTGATGGGGGGTTTCTGAGTCCTTTTCTGAATTTTGCCTATTTCTGTAGTCTGTTGTAGTAATTTTCTTTGTAGCCCCAACTTTTCTTAGTCATAGCGGGGTAATGGCCCGGGTATCTTAAATCTTTCGGAATTTTCAAAATCCTATGTAACTTTTCATATGGGACGCTGGGCTCGGTTCCCAGCACGTGCTGCTCCCCACAAATAGATTGGAGCCTTGTTCCCCCCCCACCCAAAAAAAATAAAAATATTTTCGAATGCTCAGAACCCCTAGACTCCTACGTGCCACCCTAGGCCACGGCCACAGGATCCTAATCCTAGGCCGACCTCCTAGGCCGCAGGCCCGCGGCCGCGCCACGCCCAGGCGGGGGCGCGCGCACAAAATAGGCGCGTGCGCTCGGCCTGCACACGTCGGCCGCTATAGGCCTGTACAATTTTTTTTTTTTTAAATCAAAAACTTGGGGGGGCGATGTTTTATGTGTGAAAAAAAAATTAAAAAAAATAGAAAAACAAAATATCGATTGATTGTTTGATTGATTGATTGATTGACTGATTGATTGGTTGGTTGATTGATTGTATTGATTGATTGATTGATTGATTGGTTGGTTGATTGATTGATTGATTGATTGATTGATTGGTGGGGGAGAGCTCCTCCCTCCGCTCCCCCCGGCACACACACACACACACACACACACACCGTGACCCACACACACACACACAATCAGCCTTCTGAAAAGCAGGGTGGCTAACTACACCGCGGGGTCTGGTTAGTGTTGGACAGTTTTGTTTGGCTAGACTCCCCCTATGAACATCAGCAGAGACTGCTTTTTAATGCCAATTGGGGGGACCAACGTGCTATATCTAGGTGGCGGGCGCCAAGCATGCCCTCTGCCAACTCTCCGAATTTTCAGAGAGTGGAGAGTAGTGCAGCGTGACACAAAAAGGGGGCGAACTGTTTTTTTCTTTTTCTTTTTTCTTTTCCGTTTTTGAAAGGTCCTTCAAGTTGTGCGAGGCCTCTATCCCGTGATGGGAAGAGAACCACCGGGATTGATGCTTTGCCTGCCGGCCGCTCCGTCTATTGGTGGGGAGCATCACCTGCTGGAAACCGGGTCCAACGACCATTTATCCCTGGCGTCCAGCCACCATTGATTACCCTGGATTGCAGGGGATTGACTGAGCAGGGCAGGAGGCAGGCCGGGGGAGCAGCTGCCGCCTTGGGGCCCGGGGGTCGAAGGGAGGCTGTCGAATTTATTCTGACAGCCGTCGATTTTTTTTTTCCCTTTCTACAATGTGGCGAGCCTGGGGGCAAGGTCCCACTTGCGCAAATTAGGAGATTTCGGCCGTTGATCTTTGCTATCTACGGTCAGTATCTCTTAATTCGTGCAAGTGGGACCTAGCCCCGGGCGGTGGAGAACGGGAAAGAAAAGAAAAGAAACGGAACAAGGCGATATGTGGGCATTTTCTCGCCATCGCGTAGGTTTGGCCCGTCTTCATTGACCCTTCTTCTTTTCGCCATATTCTATGTAAATCTTTCGACTCGACTTTCAATTGTCCTCCTTCACATAAACCTTCTCTCTCTCTCTCTCTCTCTCTCTCTCTCTCTCT